GTCAAGAGAAAATCTTTTGTTAGTACATCCAAGAGCCCACAAGTCCGTTTCAGTTTTCAACGTTTGGTGCGGTATAATTGGTTCAAAAATTGTTGGCCCGTTCTTTTATGAGGGAACCCTAACTGGTGAAAGATATGTGGAATTTATGTCAGAAATTCTGACTAATTTCTTAGACGAATTGGATCTTATAAGTAGACATCATCTACATTTTCAGCAAGATGGCGCACCTGCCCACAACTCCAGAGGTACTTATCATTTTCTAAGTACTACTTTTAATGATCATGGATAGGAACAAATGGCCCAATACAGTGGCCTCCCAGATCACCAGATCTAAACCCACTTGATTACTTCTTGTGGGGTTACTTAAAGAACCAAATTTACAAGCGAAGGTACGATAACCTTGACGCGTTAAAGACTGCAGTTAGGGAAAAGATAACCCAGATAGATGGTAGGACCATACTTAAGACAGTTCGAGCAGTTGAAAAACGTGCCCAAAAATGTATTGAAGAACAAGGTGGTGTTTTCGAGCATCTTCTTTAAAAAAATTGTTATTGTATTTTGTAAGATTATAAGTTGATGTTGAAAATAAGTTTGTCGATACAATTTAATTGTTTCAGATTGGAGGCCATAACTTCAACAATTTGTAACCTAGGAGAAAAGTTATTGTGAGCTTTTTTGTTTAAAATTTGATGCTTTAACAGAAAAAAATATAATATACAGGGTTTCCATTTAAAAAAATGTTATTTTACTGAAAAAAATCAAAATAACGACTCTCAATTGTTTTTTTTATTTCTCATTTTACCAGCGTTAAAAATGCTACTAGTTTGCTAATTCAAACAACTTTGTATTTTCACTAATAACAAAGTTACTAATGGTGGACTCTTAATTTGGATAACCCTGTATATATACAGGGTGGCCGCAGCGGTGGCCACAGCGGTGGCCGCAGTAGTAGACTCTTCGGTCTCCTGATCAGTCGCCGTGCGCTGTGCGGGTTCGAGTCCCGTCCCAGGAGACATTTTTCTCTTGGCTATGGATGTTGTGATTGTCCGTAGGTGGTAGATGGTCTTTGACTGTCGAACGCGGAGGTACCACCCGGCTGTTCTCGTAGGCGGAGCCAGAATGTGTGCATGTTGCATGCACACGTGTTCCCGCGCCAGAGTCCGTGTGGCGTCCCCCCTTTCCCATGTATCCCCCTATAGCCCCACGGTACCCAATGGGTCTTAGGCCTTAGGCCTTCGTTAGTTGGAGTATAAAAAAAAACAAAAAAAAAACACGTGGAACGTAGTCATTGTCATCAGCAGCCTGTTAGGAGAGAAAAACTCAGCTTTAATTAGGAACTTCGATAAATTATTGCAAGGTGAACTCTAGGAACTTTAATCTTTCGCTTTCGATAAACTATGTTATCATCCTATTAGTATTGCGTTATAAAAAGTACTTTACGCTTTCACATTTTGGCGTCACGAGATTCTGTTAAGGAGCCTCAGCACGCACCAAGAAATATATTTACAACATATTAACTAAATAACTTCTAAGTCTTTTTATTGCATCTACATATAATATCACGAATTGCCATATGTATAATGTTTAACAAGCTATTTGCTTTTATCCAAGGATCTGCTCAGATCTCACAACTCACACCTATTTAGAGTTCAAGCAATGTGTTTCCTACTTCTAATATCAGGTATTCCGAGACTGCTACTGTTTCGTAAAGACAATTTTTCGTATTTTCCTATACAGTTAATCCAGAATTGTTCAAATGCTGTACCGTTAATGGAGATTTACTTCCATTTCTTTGTATTACCTAATTTATATCTATTGTAATAATAACTGAATGATTCACATCGCAATATAGATAGTATTTCTGCTCCGATGTACGAAAGCACACCCAATTGGCTAGTAAATAGTAATAGTAGTGGTGGTGAGGCGAAGGTCACGTTGGGCGCTTTTTGCCGACCCCGTAGTACCAACACTGTACTACCCTAAACTCTATATCACGAGTATCAATCACGTTGGGATCTCTATTGGGGTGAACAGCTGATCAACTGGTGGCATATTTGTATCAGTCTGTAACGTTGACAATAATGAATCGGGTGTAAATCCAGTAAAACATGCTTGTAGCGTTTTTATTTTCTGTAATCAAATGAACTTTGCTAAATAAAAGAGTTGTTTCAAAACAAAATACGAATACGGTTCTGTCTACCTAGCGTTGACTGATCGCCCAGAATTATGTGTCATTTGTCGATATGTGGTATTCTGAGCTGTTATTCTATCGTAATGGATACTAGTGAAAAAGACAATACATTCTATCTACTGGTAACTAATTATTCAATCAACGAGCTCCTGCAATCCGATGTTCCTGTTTTGATCTTCAATCGATCTTGTGCGTAGTATTTCTATATAGACAAACACATCTATAATCAAAATTGACTTCCGAGGTGGGGATTCAAACCCACTCGGCTACCCAGCCCCTCTAGTAAATTGTCTACCTACTTGAATATTCTTCCCAAAGAAAAGAATGTACCTACGATGTATTGGTTTGTCAGGTCGGTAACCACTGGTAGGCAAATCTATCAAAAAAAGAACGTTATGATACCGACAAACACTGCCTTGTAAACATAAAGGGCTTGGTTTCTTCTAACTTATACGATTTCGTCACTAGAGGTTCGACACTTTCATTTTAAAGCGTCTGAAGGATCGATACCAACAGCTTTTCATATATTATAATAAATGATATGAAATTTTGGATTACCTTTTGTATTTGGGCATCTTTTGGTATCAACAACGTGTTCTGAGCTTGCCTGATTGCCTCTTGGGTATACGCGCTACCTTCCTTCTGAGGAAAAGCTAAGGCACACCCCACTAAGGCAAAACCGAAGAGAAACAGCTTCATGTTCTTCCTGGAAATTATAAAACATGTCAATTCGAATATGTCACCTATACAGGTGAACAAAGAAAAGAGCGAGAATGTTTCTGTGACAGGACTAACTTTCACGTGAAAAAGAGACTCAAGTATCGCCTGATGAGTGTTGAACTTATACATATTTACAAATTATGACATAGAAAATGTTTACCCGCGCAGCAGTGAAGGTATTAAGTATCAATTTTATACATAGTATTAATAGCACAAGTAATAACTCAAACCAAGACTCAAATATGTGCCTGCCTCAAACTAAATCAGAGGCGCAAGTTATGTTGCTGTCATTTAACACTTTATTAGTTGATATAATAATTGCATTGTATTCCTTTTTACTAGCTCATCACTTTTGGTTTATATTAACGATTGTATCTTAATTATGAGGTAGTCATTCAATCTCAGTCACAGCGAACACACACACTGTAATTCCAGTTCGGTTGTTGGAATCAAATAAAGTTTTTTAAAAACGAAGTTTGAAGTTCCGACTACATAATTGGCGCAGCCCGCAGTAGGATTCCCAAAGGGATTTTCGCCGATTAGCCCTTGAGTCCGAACTCTTAATTGGGAATCGCGAACCTCCGCGACGAGCTGGTACGACTGAAGAAAGAAGAAAGAATTTGGACCACAAGTGCCCTTTGTCCTGTTAAAGTCGACGTCCACCTGAGGAACCTAGGCCAAGAACGGTATGAAGTACTGGACCTATCAGTAAGTGCTCATTGTATCCTTATTTTTTCATGAGTGACTCACCCCGACCTGTACATCCTTTCGAAGGTGATAGTGCAGATCAAATCGCTAATCGCATAGCAAGCTTAGAATTAGGAAGTAGAGAAGTAAGACAAGCAAACGACACTATAGAAAAGATAATAATGACGACCCCCAGTAGAAATAGTGCCCCCCCAGTTCGACATAAAATTACTCCCAAATTGTACCAGAATTCCATGGGAATCCCTGTAGACTATATAGATATTTAGAAATAAGCACAGATTTATTAGTTATTTAATAATTAATAATTCCACAAAAATTTCCAACAAACGCACAATTTTTTGGCAATAGACCTAATGTTAATGTTTGGCGTAATCCGCCTAACCAAGGACCTTCCTACAGGCCTACTCCTATGAGTGGTGTTAGTAGCATCAATAGAAATAAGAATTTCCAAAATAATTATTTTAGACCTTTTGGCCCAAGGAACTTTGCTTCTCAAGAATAACATAACGTTGAGAGTGATCCTTATGATAAAAATTTTGGAAACAACCCTTACGATGACTATTACTGGGAATATTGTCAGGATAGTGAAAATCAGTATGACTGTTCTGATCTATATTACGAAAACCCTGATGAGACACAAAATGATGTTTCTGAAACTGGTCAAAAGCCTGATGAAGAAAAACAAAATTTTCAGATGGCCGTGCCCATGATAGAGGAGACATAATACACTTAAACACGATCTATAACAAAACAGAGTTACCTTATACTGAAATTAAAAATCCGCCTTTAAAGCTTCTTATAGATACTGGTGCAACGAAATCACTTTTAAATCCTGATCTTGCACAATAGCATTTTCAAAATGTATTTATAAAGAACCATTCGAAGTAACTTCAGTTTTTCAGCATTCGAAGAGAGACTATTGTGCTAAAATTCTCAGAACTCAATGTTAGTGAGCCTATAAAATTTCATTTGTTCAAATTTCACAAGTATTTTGATGGTCTGATTGGTTTAGATATTTTGAAACTTCTAAATTCGCATATTGACCTTAGAAATTCTATTTTGCATACCAAAAACGCCAAAATTCCAATCAAATTTCATGATTTGAAAAATCGTTTGTTATTTTTCATAGAAATTGAGCCCCACATGGCGGCCCAAGCCAAAATTCCTGTCGATACTTATAATGGAGAAATTTTGATTCCAAATTCCAAAATTAGAGATTGTGTAATCAAGGAAACGCTTACTCATGCTATAAACGGTTATGCCCTAGTTGACCTAGAAAATCCTAGTAACACCTATCAAGAAATTTCCTTGTATGAGCCTATTGTTTCATTTCCGTTCGACGCAAACAATTACGCTTTATTCCACGCTATCATTAAACCATCTGAATCAGTTTCGCCGTTGCGACATGATCTCAGTAAACTGATACGAACATCCCATGTCAATCATGAAGAAAAAACTCATATTCTAAAATTGTGTCAAACCTACTCCGACGTATCCTATTACGAGGGTGATGCGTTAACTTTCACAAACCAAATTAAGCATCATAGGAGGACCACAGATGAAATTCCTGTTCATACAAAATCGTATCGTTATCCACACATGCTCAAAAATGAAATGCAAAGCCAAATTAGATCCCTTCTAGATCCGAATATTATTCGACATAGTAGTTCAGCTTGGAATTCTCCAGTTTTTCTCATTCCCAAAAAACCTGATGCTAGTGGTGAAAATAAATGGCGTATGGAGGTTGACTATCGACAGGTTAACGAAAAGACCATAGATGATCGCTACCCCATTCCATGTATTTCTGACATTTTAGACAAATTAGGTCGTTGTAATTACTTCACAACTTTGGATTTAGCTAGCGGTTTCCACCATATTGAAATAGCCCCGGAAGATATTCAAAAAACAGCATTAAGTGTTGATGGAGGTCATTACGAATACCTTCGTATGAGTTTTGGTCTTAAAGGAGCACCAAGCACATTTCAGCGTGTTATGGACAATGTCTTGCGAGGACTAGATAACCCTATGGTGTATATGGATGACATCATAATTTATTCTACTTCTTTACAAGAACACATTGTATCATTGAAAAAGGTTGTCCAAAGATTAAGTGAGACAAACCTCAAAGTTCAGTTAGATAAATCCGAATTTTTGAAAAAGGAAGCAGCTTTTCTTGGTCACATTGTCACATCGCAAGGAGTAAAACCAAACCCCGACAAAATTAAAATTAAACAGTTTTTAGGTTTTATTGGTTATTATCGTAAGTTCATTAAGGACTTCGCAAAAATCAATCGCCCTTTCACCCTATGTTTGAAAAAAGGAGCAGAAATTAAACATGACGAAAAATTTCTCAATGCTTTTGAACATTGTAAGAATCTCTTAACGAATGAACCATTATTACAATATCCGGATTTTGAAAAGCTCTTCATATTGACTACCGACGCAAGTAATTTTGCTGTATCAGCTATACTTTGTCAAGGCCCTATTGGCTCTGACAAACCAATAGCTTATGCATCTAGAACATTAAACGATTCTGAACAAAATTACAGTGCGACTGAAAAAGAATGTTTAGCAATAGTTTATGGAACTAAGTATTTTAGACATTATCTTTTTGGACGAAAATTTAAAATTGTAACAGATTGCAAACCGCTTCAGTGGTTAATGACTTTAAAAGAACCAAATTCTAGATTACAAAGATGGCGCTTAAATTATCCGAATTTGAGTATGAAGTTATATACAAAAAAGGTAAAGAAAATAAAAATGTTGATGCACTTTCTCGTATTCAAATTCACGCTACTGAAACTGACCCACAACCTTCTACATCACAAATCCAAGATGAAGAAGAGTTCCCATTTATCCGATACATGAAACCTTCAATAAAGACTTTTCCGAAAAACCTACAGATGACCAAACGTCTATAGAAAATAATGTAGGTGATGAACAAACAATACGCAATTTGCTAGACTTGAGTGAACGAGTTGAAAACGTAACTATTCACTCAGACGATGAAAGCCCCATTCAAGAAATTAACCCTGTAGAAAAACCTATCAATGTTTTCAAGTATCAAATTTTTGTTAAAAAAGCTATTATGCCCAGAAAACTCACACTTCAAACGTTATGGGATCAAAACTAATCACCGAGGAATTATTGAGACTGTAAACCAAATTAAAAGAAAATATTATTGGCCCCACATTGATGATGACGTGAAGTTATACGTTAATACCTGCGATATTTGCCAGCAAGGCAAATATGAAAGACATCCACCTAGAATTGAATTTGAGATTACCACGACAGCTAAAATGCCATTCCAAATTGTTCACTTAGATGTATATCAAGCTAACAATAAGAAATTTTTAACAATAATGACAATTTTTCAAAATATGCGCAAGCCTTCCCAATCGAAGCAGCTGATGCTATCTCTGTTGTAGATAATTTGATCAAATTCATGTCATTTCATGGTTTGCCCATCCAAATTGTTGCAAATTCTGGTACTCTGTTCAACAACGCCTTATAAAAGAGTTTGCAAAACTCCATAAGATAAAGCTACATTTTACAACTTCCAAAAATTCAAATAGTAATTCACCTATTGAACGATTCCACTCCACTATAACTGAACATTTAAGAGCTCTTGCATTGCAATTTCCAAAAAAGGATGTTAATTCTTTGATGCCTTATGCAATCCTTGGCTACAATCAGTCCATACAATCAGTGACGAAACGAAAACCAATTGAAATTATTAACGGACATTTAGACGTTAGAGATCCTTTTGATCTAGACGTTGATCGAGAATTAATGAACAATTACCTTCAAGAACACAAGAATAGGACAAAATTAATTTATAGCCTTATCTATGACATGTCGAAAACCCAAAAGGGAAAGGTTATTCGAAAAGCTAATAAAGATCGCGAAAAACCGACCGACTATTCTAGAGAAAAAGTAGCTTACCGACGTGACGCGAAGTCTCGAGGTAAAAATCTGAAACCGCCCTATATAAAAGAACAGACTTTGACTGACAAAGGTTTAAAACTCAAAATATTTATCATAAAAGTATTTTCAAAAAGCCCAGAAAAAAAGTAACTCAAAATTTGTTACATTATGATACTTCTGATAGTGCATCTGACACATCAGTCCACGGTGAAGGTGGAAAAAAAACAAATCCTGGTATACTACCCTTCAGATTAGGTGATGCTTAAGTAAAAATAGGAACACATACATTTTTAGACTATGTAGATTTTAAGCCGATAATTAAGGAAGTAAATTCGCTAAGTACAGTATTTCAAAAAATCAAGGACCAAACAGAAAAGAATAAATATAATTTAGGATTCATTCCAGATATACATTTGGCAGATATAGAACAGCATATAGTTTACTCGATGTCAAATTTTAAAAACAAAATAATGTCCATATATCCATTCTGGAAAAAGCAATATCGCCCAAAACGAGGCTTAATAAATGGCTTAGGATCAATTATCAAAATGATTTCAGGGAACTTAGATGATGACGATGCTAAAAAATATGACCAGGCTATTGAACAATTACAGAAAAATCAGAATCAAGTAATTAAGACAGCTAATCAGCAATTTTCCTTGACCACGAGGTTCTCAAAAATGACAATAGGACATTTAGCCTTATGGTTCACAATCAAGCTGTAATAGAAAAACTTTGGTAGAGATGCAAAGGAACAATACATACTATTTTACTATTTTGGATACACTATTACAATAAAGTTCAATTTAGATGCACTGCTCTCTATAACTAGTAATTTGGAAAATGCCATCGCATTTGCCAAAATTGGTTCATTGCACCACAGTATTATTTCGATAGATGAATTAAAGTCAATATTCCAAATATTAGTCAAAATCATAATAAAGCTCAGTTGGTGTATTCAGACATCAAAGATATTTATAAGCTTTACGACATAATTTCAGTAGAAGCATATTTTTCCCAAAGTCGATTAGTTTTTGCCTTACATGTTCCGCTTTTGCACGTAGACAAATTTAAGCATTATCATCTTTATTTCAGAGTCCAAATACATTGCTATCTTCTCGAAACAGTGAAGCACCCCTATAAATGGAGTCTACCCCTGTATCCAATTATGTTAATTGATATTGCATGCATTTTCGTGAAAAAGTATTACCAGAGAAGAAAAGGATCAAGAAGAAGCCAGCATTAGAAGAAATCGAAATGCAACCCAGAGGCACGAAGTTTCGTTTGTGCCCTCCAAAACTTCATCTTAAGGGTGGAGGAGTTATGTTGATGTCATTTAACACTTTATTAATTGATAAAATAATTGCATTGTATTCCTTTTACTAGCTCATCACTTTTGGTTTATATAACGATTATACTTCGCTATACTCGTCCAATTAGATCACACACGTAGTAACACCATTTATGCTTTGTCGAGCACAACATTTTTAAAGGTACCCGTATACAAACAAAATACCTATCTATCTTGCGTTTCTTATCGGCCCAGGCATATGAATCATTACACTGTTGTGCTTCGTCGAGTACGGACCGGTTTATTTACATTTGGTGGAAATTCGTGAAATGCCGAAGCGAAAAACAAGTAGTGATGCTGCAAGATTGGAGAGAAAACGGCGAAAACTAATTAAGAGTTTAGAGAAAATTGACAAGAAAAGTCGGCGAGGTGATAGGTGTAAGAGCACTAGTAAGTTGTTTTTAGGTAAAATCGTTAAACCTAATGTATTAAGAATGGGCTAGAACCGTTAAAGCCTTTTGCAGTTTTCACATAACGTGAAAAACATATAAATAGGGTAAAACCGTTAAACCCAGGACATATTCTACAGAATATGTTAAGGATATTGCATGCGCAAGTAGGTGAGGACTGTATATATTTTTTATGTGAATCCAGCTCTGATTCTGATTCATCAGGAAGTATAAGCAGTGTATATAGTACGGGACAAACGTATACACATTTAGAGCCAGAAGTCATAATCAATGAGGCAGAGAGGTATCCTCCTGTAATTGAAGAACAATCTCAAGATGAAAATCTGGAAATTCCGTCGGGAAGTGAGCCAGTATTAGGAAGCGAGGTTCACAAATCTCTGGCTGATCGATGGACCAAGTACGTGACATTAGGTTTAGAGAAATCGGACAAGGAGGAGTTGCACAAAAATACCTGATTCCCAAAAATATTCCTTACTTACGAGCCCTTTTGTTGAACCCGGAATTGGAAGCAACCTTAGGTGATCCTGTCAAAAAAGAGGACAAATATGTTTCTACTATTCAGAAGCATGGTTTTTAAATCCAAAATGTTACCCAGTGTGGTGGACGCTGGCAAAATTTTGTGTGGCGTTTTCCACATGATGTCCACAAACCGGAAATATCACGTAGAAGGGCATTTAAACTCTACAGTGAAGAAAATCGTCAGAGAAAGTAAACCTGACGAATTTTTGTGTGGTAAAAATTTTGCCGATAAATTCAAAGAGGTTAAGGCCCAATGGAGAACGGGGAAAGAAATGAAGAATGCTCATCCATCTTCGTCAAGACAGCTGCCATCTACCTCAAATAACGTTTTTCCTGATAAGTCCTTCAGAGGTAACCTCATGCAGAGACCTTCGGTATCTTTAAACTACCAGCCTCACTTCCACAAAGGAAGAATGAAAGGTCGCCCTCAAGGAAGAGACCGGGCTCAAGGGAAGGATCGCCACGACAAAGTGTACCAGAGACGCAATTACCAGTAATAGAGGTGGGTACCAGTGTATATGGTGGCAGAATAAAACATTATATGGCAAATTGGCGGCAATTTACTCAGGATAAGACCATTTTGTCGTGGGTCAAGGGATATAAGATGCCATTTTTCAAAAATCCTTTTCAATATAGTTATCTTCCAAAGAAAATGCAGGACGATGAGATAAGACACTATTCCGCTGCCATCTTGGATTTAGTGAACAAGGGAGTAATCAGTCAATGTCAACCAGTAGAGAACCAATTTTATCTCCCTATTTTCTTATACCAAAAGCCGACAAAACAAACGTTTTATATTAAATCTAAAGTATCTCAATATGTTCTTGAAAGCACCTCATTTCAAATTGGATAATTATAAATCTGTTAAAGATTTAATTTCTCGAAATATCTACATGGCTACAATCGATTTAAAAGATGCCTATTATATGATACCAATAAATAATAGAGATAAGAAATTTCTTAGATTTAAATTTGCGGAAAAACTGTTTGAATTTAATTGCTTGCCTATGGGTTTATCTACGGCACCCTATGTTTTCACTAAGCTTTTAAAACCAATATTTAATTATTTTAGGCAACTCGGAATCCTGGGTATAATTTACTTGGATGATATTTTACTGCTAGGAAAAACTAAAAGTGAAGTAGATAAGAGTATAGCTATAGTGTTGTCCACTTTGAGAAAATTGGGTTTTTTAATAAACTTTAAAAAATCAAAAATTGACCCGAGTCAAGTTTGTGAATATTTAGGATATGTTTACAATAGTCAGAACATGACATTTTATCTTCCCAAACATAAAAACAGGCATTTTTAAATGCAATTAATACTTTTGTTAGGAAGAGAACATGTAAAATAAGAGAGTTATCAAGTATTATTGGATTGTTAGTTTCAGCTTGTCCGGTTGTACAATACGGATGGTTGCATATTAAGAGATTAGAACGAGCAAAATTTTTGAGTTTAAAGAGATTTAGAAGTTATAATTCTAAAATTATACTATCAAAGATTATTTGTAGGGAACTATTGTGGTGGAAACAGACAATAGACACATCTTTTAATGATTTGGGTAGTAAAGAATATGCTTACGAAATTTATACAGACGCTTCCAAAACGGGATGGGGGGCTGCATGTAATACAGAAGTTACCCATGGGTTTTGGGATCAAGAAGATATGAAACATCACATTAATTTTCTCGAACTTTTGGCTATTCATTATGCATTGCAGTGTTTTGCTTCAGAGTAAAAAAACTGTAACATTCTTCTGCGTGTAGACAATAAAACGGCCATAGCCTATATAAATAAAATGGGAGGCATACAATTTGAGAAATTGAGTAATCTAAGTAGACAAATATGGCTATGGTGCGAAAAACGGGAACTAATGCTCTATGCTTCATATATACCATCCAAAGATAATATAATTGCTGATGAACAATCGAGAATTTTAAATATTGAGATGGAATATTCGTTAAATAGTAAGAATTTTTCTAAAATAGTAAAACAGTTTGGTAAGCCTAATATCGATTTGTTTGCATCTAGGATAAATGCTAAATGTAATACTTATATTTCATGGTTGAAAGATCCAGGAGCCTTAACATCTGATGCATTTACAATTAAGTGGGATAAATCCTGGAAATTTTACGCGTTTCCTCCTTTTTCCCATAATTGGACGGGTTTTGAATAAGCTAATTAAAGATAAATCTAAAGGAATACTTGTAGTTCCCTACTGGCCCAATCATTCATGGTTTTCTTTTTTTCTAAGACTTTCGTCAACAAAACCCTTAATTTTTAAACCCAATAAAAGCTTACTTTTATCTCCATTTAGAACCAGCCATCCATTTTGGAAGAACATACCCCTAGTGGCGTCGATATTATCCGGGGATCTTTTGTAGAAAAAGAAGTTCCTGAAGAAGCTATACCATTAATGATTAAATCATTAAGTGAATCTACATTGAGGCAATATAGTGGTACTCTCCGTAAATGGTGGGTTTACTGTAAGGAAAATAGACTGAGACCATACGTCGCAAGTGTTGGTCATATTATCTCCTTTTTAAGCCTTCTCTTTGAGACAGATATTTCTTTTGCGACATTAAATGCTCATAAGTCTGCCTTATCTTTAATTTTGAATATCTCATCTACAGATGAGCAATTAATTAAGCGTTTTTTGAAAGGTGCCTTTCGGGAAAAACCTAGTTTTTCTAAATATAATATTACCTGGGATCCTATAGTAGTATTGGATTATATTGAAAAATGGTATCCATTAGAAACCTTGTCACTAGAAAAGTTAGTAAAAAAGTTAGTCATTTTGTTAACGTTGGCTTCTGGGCATCGAATACAAACTATCTCTAAAATTAAAGTTAAAAATATAGTACATAGGGAGAACGGTATAGATATTTATATTACCGATATGCTAAAAACATCAAATTATAATCGTCAACAGCCAGTGCTAAAATTTGATATATTTATCGAACGTCCTGATTTATGTATTGTAAAAACATTAATTAGGTATTTGGAAATAACTCAACCAATTAGGGGAAACGAAGAATATTTAATTTTAACCTATCGGAATCCTGTTCATATAGCATCTCCGCAATCTATAAGTCGCTGGATAAAAGATGTAATGAAAAACAGCGGTATAAATACTGACCAATTTAAAAGCCATAGTGTCAGACATGTAACAACGTCAGCGGCTGCTGGAACGGGGATGAACATTGATAGTATAAAGAATTTAGCTGGTTGGACGAAAAAGTCAGAAGTATTTGCTAGGTTCTATAACAGACCTCTGCAAAGTGAATTAAATTTTTTGGAGTCTATGTTAATGAATAAAAGCTAGTATATAGCTAGGGATATAGGTCTTACATTAAGGCATTTTTTTTCCTATATATACAGGTGACTTCGAAGTTGAGTCATTTATTTTAACAGTGAGTAGATCTGATCAAAAGAAATGTTTTTTTCCTTTACCATTTTTCTGGTAAAATTAAAGTAACAAAGTTATAGCCCTTTGGAAGTTTGAGTACCGCCCTGTCTCAATAACATCATGTGCTCGTGTTTGGCAACAACGGATATAATCCACTATCGGTTCATCGCATCGGAAACAAAAAAGCGAAAGAATTTGGAACGATGTTTACTTTATTCAGTTCAGTTATACATACAATCAGTGTCAGTCATGTTTATGCGGATTGGTTTCCCAATCGAGTGCAACCAACCCCTCGTGCCTTTGTTAATAGTAGTACAACGGGCTCGTGAATCAGGTGACTTCAGACCTCACAGGGGACATCACGATCAAATACAGGTCCGCACTGAAATACTTGTCGGGAGGTTACTTTATAAAACAAGGTAAAAATTTTTTTTTATTTTTTTTTTATTTTTACACACATATTTTGGTTTATCTTCCTTCTACAATCATTATCTGAAAATTAATGACTCAACTTCAAAGTCACCCTGTATAATAAGAATGTTATATTAGTAGTATTAAAAGTATTTGAATACATATGGTTTGAATTAAAATAAGTTTTGCAATAAAAAGTGGTTCTATTACAGTGATCTCATTGATTATTATTTATTTGCAATACCAAGAGTTCCAAAAGAGTAATTATTACTTTCAATAACTACGTGTGTGATCTAATTGGACGAGTATAGCGAAGTATAATCAAAGGAACCAACGACTTACCTGTAGGAAGTTTGTTCCAGATTATATGAGCTATACTCGTCCAATTAGATTCCCACCCTGAACCCTTCCCGGGTAATTACTCTTTTGAAGTTCGACTTCAACAGTGTAATGATTCATATGCCTGGGCCGATAAGAAACGCAAGATAGATAGGTATTTTGTTTGTATACGGGGTACCTTTAAAAATGTTGTGCTCGACAAAGCATAAATGGTGTTACTACGTGTGTGATCTAATTGGACGAGTATAGCTCATATAATCTGGAACAAACTTCCTACAGGTAAGTCGTTGGTTCCTTTGATTGTATCTTAATTATGAGGCAGTCATTCAATCTCAGTCACAGCGAACACACACACTGTAATTCCGGTTCGGTCCATGTAAACTATTGTTGGAATCAAATAAAGTTTTGTAAAAACGAAGTTTGAAGTTTTCGACTACATAATTCGCAGAAACTGAGAAGCATAGTGAAGAAACAAGAATAATATTCTCTATACCACGTGTGATCTTAGACCAAATACGGTTGAATTAGCACAGATAAACCACAGGATAAATTCCTACATTACACTGGTATGCAAAACATATTTTCTATATCATGCTTGACTATCATTGTTATTGTTGTTATTATTGTTATTATCGTTATTATCATTGTTACCGTTATTATCGTTATTATCGTTATTATCGTTATTATCGTTATTATCGTTATTATCGTTATTATCGTTATTATCGTTATTATCGTTATTATCGTTATTATCGTTATTATCGTTATTATCGTTATTATCGTTATTATCGTTATTATCGTTATTATCGTTATTATCGTTATTATCGTTATTATCGTTATTATCGTTATTATCGTTATTATCGTTATTATCGTTATTATCGTTATTATCGTTATTATCGTTATTATCGTTATTATCGTTATTATCGTTATTATCGTTATTATCGTTATTATCGTTATTATCGTTATTATCGTTATTATCGTTATTATCGTTATTATCGTTATTATCGTTATTATCGTTATTATCGTTATTATCGTTATTATCGTTATTATCGTTATTATCGTTATTATCGTTATTATCGTTATTATCGTTATTATCGTTATTATCGTTATTATCGTTATTATCGTTATTATCGTTATTATCGTTATTATCGTTATTTTTTTTTTTTTCCCACGGCGTCGACTGCTGAGGTCATTTGCCGTATCCCTCCTCCCATATAGGTCATTAATTCTCACCCAGGGGTAGATCTGGGTGCTTCTTTTCGTTTCAGGGAAAGTCTCAATAGCATATTTGATTTATTTGTGTACGTAATATGTATGTTCCTTTCCATCTTTCAGATATTCCTCAGCAGCTGTTTTGTACATTCGTGTACACACATTCGTATTCAGGCAAGATACACAGGTAAGTAAGTACTTTCCTACAACATGTAGTATAGATACTGATCCATATTTGTTTTGTTCCAGGGCATCCCGGATCATAGGTTTCCTATGTGTTGGGTCAATTCGTTATAAAATA